CCAGCAGTGTGGCTACGAAGACGACCTGAATTGAAATGTTTAGTATGAGCAGTTCTGACAGTTCTTCATCAGATGAAGCATTTATTTTAGCACTAGTGTGTGAGTACGAACAACGGAAAGAAAGAAAACGCCGTAAGTATTGGGTACATGATATTTTCCGAGCTAGACTGTCAGAAGGGGAATTTCACACGCTTTTTTAAACGACTGATCGAAGACGAAAACAAATTTTATAAATATTTTAGAATGTCTCCAGAGAAATTTAATTTGTTATTGGGATTAGTAGCAGAGAAATCCACAAAACGAAATAGCAGATTCCGACCTTGTATAGGACCTCAAGAACGTTAAACTCGCTTGATCGAGCAACGCTGCACTTCAAATGCGCGAAAGAAAGCCCACCGACAATTGGAGGCGTCAAGTCGGTTGAAGTCAAGCGAGGCATAGCGTAAATGAGAACTGCTACGTAAGAAAACACAAAGACTTTTTAACGCGACATTTTGACGCTCGATGAAGTCAAGCATAGTAAAGGCCGGTTCTCATATAAGCTTCGCCGCGCTTCACTGTGCTTGGCTTGGCTTCGCGACAAAGCGTCAATTTTCCGAGATGAATTTACATATAAGCTTCAAAACCGGAGCGAAGGAGCGTCAGTTCACGTGAAACCAGCAGTGTGGCTACGAAGACGATCTAAATTGAAATGTTTAGTATGAGCAGTTCTGACAGTTCTTCATCAGATGAAGCATTTGTTTTAGCACTAGTGTGTGATTACGAACAACGCAAGAAAAGAAAACGCCGTAAATATTGGGTACATGATATTTTCCGAGCTAGACTGTCAGAAGGGGAATTTCACACGCTTTTTAAACGACTGTTAGAAGACGAAAACAAATTTTATAAATATTTTAGAATGTCTCCAGAGAAATTTAATTTGTTATTGGGATTAGTAGCAGAGAAATCCACAAAACAAAATAGCAGATTCCGACCTTGTATAGGACCTCAAGAACGTCTAGCAGTATTTCTCAGGTAATTAAACATAAGTAATTATTTTTGCAGATTGCTTTTATTTATAGTAGAGAATAAAAAACTAGTAGGTATTACAAATTACAAAATCAAGCAAAAACATTAAATAGAAATCAATATTGTCAAGGTGTATGTGGCGCCATCTGTCGGAGAAGCGAGCAACTAAAACCGCAACGTGTCCAGAAACCTGAAGACAATATTTTGTTGTAGCGCCATCTCTTAATCAAGTCGACAAGTAAGCGAAGCAGACAATAGAATGTACTAGTAGATGGCGGACCCGTCCCGATAATTTTAGATTGTTCGCGAAACACTCACCACAGCTATATAAAAGGAGCGCTTACGACAGTTGAAGAAGTTTTACAGTTTTTGAAATTTGAATATACCGCGTGGAAATTGAAAATCGGACAATTTGGTGAAGGAATCTTATAAATAGTTAGTTTGTTGTGTGTTATAAGTTAGTAATTGTGTATAAAGTGAGAAAAATAAATTCGTTAAGTATTTTATTGTGAGTTTAAATTAGTGGACCCACGGAATCCGTAACAATTGGTGTCGGAAGTGCGATTCAAGAGGATTTTAAGAAGAAATTAAGTGGATTGGAAGATTTTTAGACCCAATTAGAGTATTTTTATGGTTGGTACAAGGGAACAAGCGAAGAAAATGGAGGAAGTAAGCAAATTATTGGGCGATTTTATGGAGAATATGAGAAGAGAAAAGGCAGAAGAACAAGAGAGGCTGCGAAAAGAAAAAGCAGAAGATCAAGAAAGACTCCGTAAAGAACGAGAAGAAGAGCGAGCCCGACTAGAAAAAGAGAAAGCAGAAGAACAGGACCGCTTACTGAAAATTCTAGAAAATCAAGACAAAATTTTCGAAGATTTGAAAATCCAACGACAACAAGAGAAACAAGAAGAACAGGACCGGCTTGAGAAAATATTGGGTAATTTGGAAATTCGTTTGGAGGAGCGACGTCAGAGAGAAAAGCAAGAAGAACAGGACCGGCTTCAGAAAATCTTAGAAAATCAGGAAATTCGACTTCAGAAAAGCTTCGGAGACATGGAAAAAAAGCAAGAAGCAATGTTGGAAGTACGTTGCCAGGAACAGCAAAATCACCTTCAAGAAGTCGTAGAAGATCTTGAGGAACGCCTTCAGCAGAAAATGGAAAAATTAGAGATGGACCTACAGAAGACCAAGGCACAAGTAAGAACACCTGGCGTTCATGGAACTGCGAACCTCAAGGCCCCGACCTACGATGGACAAACCACCTGGACGATGTACCACCGCCAGTTTGAAGCAGCGGCTGCTGCCAATGGATGGACTGACCAGGAGAAAGCAGCGGCACTTGTCATCGCGCTGCGTGGCCCTGCCCTGGAACTCCTGCAAACTATTCCTGCAGCCCAACAGCAGGAATACCAAACTTTGGTTGCTGCACTGGACAGAAGATATGGCGACCAACATCGACGCCAACTTTACCAGGCCCAGATCAAGACACGCCTGCAAAGGTCCGGAGAGAGTCTGCAGGAATTTGAAGCAGACTTACGTCGGATGGTACACCTAGCGTATCCTGAAGCACCGGAAGGATTTAGGGAGGAACTCGCTGCTCAGTGCTTTATCAGCGGACTGAGGGACAATGAATTACAGAGGGCGCTGCAAATATCGCGATTTTCTACCAGCAGCGAAGTACTCGTCAGGGCGCTGGAAATCGAAGCTGTTTTTAGCGCCATCCCTAGACCGAAGATAAGATCGGTAACGGTAGAGGAACAGCCCGAGAGTACCCACAGAAGTTTGGAGGAGATGTGTAGAAAATTCGTCAAACTATGTGAGCTACTAATAAACAAGGGAGTCAACAACACCCAGACAGAGAACCAGAGAAGATTCCAAGATATTAGGTGCTATAGATGTGGCAGGATTGGCCATATCCAACGGGATTGTCGCATCCAAATGCCATTCCGTTCATCATTAAGAGAACATCGGCACATCGGAAGATCCCAGGACATAAGTTGGTATAGATGTGGCAGGAATGGCCACATCAAACGGGATTGCCGCGTCCAAATGCGATTCCGTTTACCATCGAGAGAACATAGGCACCAGGAAATCAACACTAATGAGCGAGTATTGGCTGAAGAAAACAGAGCCCCTAGGATGTTTTCCGTTAGGAGTCTAGGAAAAACCGCTGACAGTTTGGTGATCAACGGAAGGTCAATGGTAGAAGAATTGGAATGACTGTGGACACAGGCGCTATGGTATCGTTGGTGCGGACTAACTCAGTGCAAGGATTGAAGATGATGCCTCTTAGAAGAAGAGTGTATTTACGTACAGTTACGGGGGAAATGGCCGTTGTACGGGGAGAGGCTTTCATGGAATTGGAGTTAGGGAATTTGAGTTTCGGCATAGCGTTTTAGTGGCAGACATTGAAGATGATTTTATCATGGGTATGGATGTGATCAGTCAACATGGTTTTCGTTTGATCACCATAGAAACATCCTGAAAATCGGAAATGAGGAATTTTCTGTATCTAAAGAGAAGAGACCAGGAAATATGGAAGAAAGATCATCGAAAATTGTGATGATACCTGGTGATACCAAGAAGACTGTGTTCGAGAAAATAGAGGAAACCTCTGGGTGCCGTGTAGGACGGGTACAAATTATCGACAACGACCTAGATCGACGACGAGCTACCTTGGACAAGAAAATGAAACATCGTGAAAGCACTATCAGAGTAAGGAATTTTGAATTGAGAACTGACAAACAATGGACGACGATACAATTGAGGAAAGATCAAATGAAAGATCCAGACATCGGAGCAATACTACGGCTCAAGGAAGGTAACGGCGAGAGACCACCGTCGCAGGATATTGCGGACAGAGGGCTGGTTTTCAAAGCTCTCTGGGCTCAGTGGAATTCACTGGTGATTGAGAATGGATTGTTAAAGCGCACGTGGGAAAGTGCGGATGGCAGGACCGTAACAACTCAGTTACTGGTACCAAGGAAGAAAGTCACCCAGGTATTGGAAGAAATTCATGGTGGTAAAACTGGAGCCCATCTTGGGGTAAACAAGACCCTGAGCAAGCTGAGAGACCGTTTTTACTGGGTGGATTATTGTGAAGATGTTAAGAAATGGTGTCAACGTTGTAAGATTTGCGCAGCTAGACAAGGACCAAGTACTCGATCTGGAGGAAAAATGGAACAAGATAACGTTGGACGGTCGTTCGAAAGAGTCGTTAGGAAGGAAAGATTATTGGGAATTCATAAGGCCGTGAGAAGTAAGATTACGCTAGCCAGTGACCGGATGAAAGCTCGTTACGACCTCAGAGCTAATTCTACGGGATTTCAACAGGACGATAGAGTATGGTTGTATAATCCACAGCGCAAGAAAGGAAGGTCCCCAAAGTTAACTCCAGCATGGGAAGGTCCTTATACAGTCATCAAGAGGATAAATGATGTAGTGTACCGGATTCAACGCAGCCCTAGAAGTAAGATGAAAGTAGTTCATCTGGATCGATTGAAGAGATACCAGACAGGAAACCTTGATCGGGACGATCAAATTTGAGAAGGGGGCAATGTCAAGGTGTATGTGGCGCCATCTGTCGGAGAAGCGAGCAACTAAACCGCAACGTGTCCAGAAACCTGAAGACAATATTTTGTTGTAGCGCCATCTCTTAATCAAGTCGACAAGTAAGCGAAGCAGACAATAGAATGTACTAGTAGATGGCGGACCCGTCCCGATAATTTTAGATTGTTCGCGAAACACTCACCACAGCTATAAAAAAGGAGCGCTTACGACAGTTGAAGAAGTTTTACAGTTTTTGAAATTTGAATATACCGCGTGGAAATTGAAAATCGGACAATTTGGTGAAGGAATCTTATAAATAGTTAGTTTGTTGTGTGTTATAAGTTAGTAATTGTGTATAAAGTGAGAAAATAAATTCGTTAAGTATTTTATCGTGAGTTTAAATTAGTGGACCCACGGAATCCGTAACAATATTATCAGTTGTTTTAGAACATTTATAAACGAGTAAAATAAGGTGTAGTTTGAACTGGTTGTTCTTCCAATGCATTATTTGGTGGAAAAGATGGCATTACAGATGTTGACTGCGCTGTAGATATGTCCAATAAATTATGTGGTGGACATCGTGGCATTACAGATGTTGACTGCGCTGTAAATAATTCATAATGAGGAGTCGAAACATTTTTTGCATAATGAGAACCCAAATTAGGTGGATCAACTGTAAAACTTAGGCTTCTTTGTTGTGACTTTTCTGTTAAGGTTTGCAATTCAATGGAATTCACTGTTTGAAAGACCTTATTTTTAACTTGGGCTTGCAAGTGCGGCGGAAATGTTTCTGTTGTTCTTGCCATGTTAATAAAAAATTCCATCAAAGGAGTAGGTTCTGCACGCCGTTTTTTTTCCTTTTCCAGATCTTTGCGTTTTTTGTTGTCAATGTATTCTTTAAATAAATGCGGTACCGTATCTGATGTTTTTCTATTCTTCTGAGATGTGGTATTAGAATTTGATCTGTTGGTATTTTCTTGAAGGAGTGGACGCGGTGATGCTTGGGATGAAATGGATGGCGAATTGTTTTGCGAAAACCGAGTAGAAGTCAGACTTACAAGGTTACTATCAAAATTTTGAGTTTGAGCATCAAGAGATTCAGTACCGTCTACTTCTTCTTCTCTCTCTTCGTTGTCGGACTCGATTGATTCAACATCAGTTTGTTCTGTGACCTGCTCTTCGACGATGTTTGTATGGTGTCTGGAAATAAAATCGGTATAATTTCATATAAATGAAAAAAAAAACATCCTTACTCTCTGCCTTTTATATATGGCTGAAGAAATGACATCGTTTCCCAAAATCTCCATTTTCTAGTATTTTTGGCAGCTTGACCACTCTTGGTTACATTTTTGTTTGCTCTTTGAAAGCCATCCCGTAAGCTTTTCCATTTATTTTTGCAAGTCTCGGCTAAAAAGAAATACCTATTTAATTGAAATTTGTTATTCGACACCAAAATGGCAAAATGCGGATCACTTAAAGTTTTGGTAAAATTACAGCAGTTTGTGTTTCACTCTGTATCTTATACCAGGTATGTTAAATTTCGTCATCAATTAAAAATTAGGATACCAGAGGATATGTTTAACTCTTATCCAAATTTCTGCAAAATCAGCCCTCTAGTTATTGAGAAACAACGAGCTTTTAAAAACGATCCAAAATTTAAGGTGTTTGACTTCAAGTGACGCGCAGTTTATTTTAAACAAGCCTTAACTCAAAATGAGGGAAAATATATTGACAAACTGCCTTATATGTTTAACGACACTTTATCTATTTATTTTATATTTTTTTCTCCTTTGTAGTCGGCTTTCTGGTTTCTATTTTTTTTTTAATTATTTCTAGATTTTTGGCGGTTGATTATCGAACACTGTCATTCAGTTTCCGAATTGGACATTCTACAATACACCACATTATAAATGAAATGGCTGTTACTATTGGGCTTCCCCTAGGAGATGCAAGACCTTGTCGTTGGTGGGGAAGCTCCTTGTCAGGTGCTGGCAGAATCTCCTCTAGCACTTTGGCTCGGTCCAAGAAGCATCTCACTCATTGTCTTGTCTCTGGCTGTAGTGGCCAGGGAATTGCACCAAGACATTTAAACCAGGCACCTTCTACTGTCTGTGGTCATGTCTCGCGGGTAGAGGGTGTGGGGGTCTTGGCTTAACCGCCTGGACCAAGAGGAGACAACCTCACCAAAAACCTAAATCCTACGATGGCGGGACCAGGTCAAAGGGATGCGTGGCTAGATAGGGGACTAGCCATTACTGGTCTCAACCTTGGGGCATCAGGGGGCACCCCATTGTATTTACCCCTTACTTCTACATGCGGGGCTCTGTAGAAGTGGACTGACTTTCCCTAGCGACTCGTGGGAACACTATGAGCAGTAATAAAAATAAAAACACCAACACCACCGGAGAAGCTGTGGGGAAACCCCCTAGCGACACTGGGAACAGGAACAATGAAAGTTCCAGGGGGTCAAACCCCCCAAAGAAAACTACAGGAGAGGTGGCTGACACTTGCGCGGGACCGTCCTGCGCTAGTGATACTCAAGCTACCACCTCCTTTAGCAAGGGTCGGGAGCTTACCTCTAAACCCAACAGGCGACACAGACTACCGTTTAGTCTACCTGGCCTGGGTCAACCAGGCGGGTTGGACGATCCGCTGAGAGTGGGTCTTAGCGGAGCAGAAGCACGGAGATACCTCCGACTGCTCCACGCAGGACTTGCTCCAGAGGAAGCAAAAGAGAAAGTACTCCTCCATAGAGGGGAGGGCAAAGGAACCAAGAAACAGGCCGGCGCATCTTCACCAAAGGGCAAAAGAGGGAGCGAAAACCTTTCACCTCTGCTCCGGCAAGAAGAGAAAAAAGCCAGGATGGAAAGACGTCCAACACCGAGAGGCAAGCAGGGACATATCACCAGCTTTGCCTCTATTGCTGGACAAGTGAAAATGGCAGTGCTACCAAAGGATTATCCAGAGGTTGTACTGACCACCGACCAGCAAACGGCTCTAGAAGAGGCGATACTGGACGAAATAGTGGCGATTGGAGAGCAACACAATGACGGACAAAATGTGGGTCAAATGCGATTTGCGGGGATTCACTTTCGGGTGGGCATGCTCCTCATAGACTGTGTATCTCCAGAATCGGCGGATTGGTTGATAGAAACGGCACCTAAACTTAAGAATTGGCAGGGGCCGGGACTGGTTGCCCTGAAGGGAGAAAACATCCCTAAGGAGGCGACCATCACGGTCTTTTTGCCAAGGAGCAAAGGGAAAGACACCACCTACCTGCTGAACCTTATCCAGGGGCAGAACTCCGATGTAAGGACGTCGTGTTGGCGAATCATCAACTCGAGGGAGGAGGGCCATGGCCAAGTCCTCACAATAGGAATTGACCTCAAATCCAAGGAGGCAATAGAGAAAGAGGGATACACTCTTTACTATAGATTCGGGACAACACCGGTATCAGGTCTAAGAAGAGACCAAGCTAAACAGGTAGAGAAAATGGAGACAGATCCTCCAGCCTCTACCTCACAGGTACCTCAGCCGAAGACTAGCTCCTCGACTGTGAAAGGCACGGAGGGCCAAACCCCAACCGTGGAAGGGTGTATATCCTCGGAGAAGGTTGATGGCCACTTCTCGGAGGAGGAACTTCCGTTGTCAGAGGAAGATGAGGAATACCCTATCCCTCTACAACGGGAGAATCCTCACACACCCCAGTAACCTAAACCAGGTCCAAAGTCCTACTCCAGCCCCTCTTCCCACCCCCGAACTTATCCTTTCTTCTTCCCCCCATGCATGGGATATCCCAAATAAACCTGCACCATGCAAAAGGGTCTTCCGCTACAATAGCAAGACTCTTTGAGAAAAATCATTATGCAATGGTACTAGCCCAGGAACCCTGGGTGTATCAGGGACAAATTAGAGGTTTGTCTGGAAAAAATTCAAAGGTAATATATGATAACAGGCAGGAATTTCCCCGAGCCTGTATTCTTATAAGAAAGGACATTAACTACACATGTGTTTCAGAATTTACAACCCGAGATCTTGTTCCTATCATGGTTCAGCTTAATATCGAGGATTGCAGTAAAAACATCGTGATTGCCTCTGCTTACTTTCCGGGTGACGGGGAGGCACCGCCTCCGGAGGTACGGGAGCTCGTGCGATTCTGCAGCCAACGGCGACTACCTCTGCTAATGGGATGCGACTCCAATACACACAATGAGGTATGGGGAAGCACTAACACTAACACTAGAGGTGAGTGTTTAAGTTCTCAATGTAGGGAACAGCCCCACGTTTGTGACAAAAACGCGGGCAGAAGTGTTAGATTTAACAATCGGGAGTGCTGGTGTAATCAGTTACGTGAAACAATGGAGGGTCTCAACGGAACCCTCCCTATCAGATCACAAAATCATCGAGTTCAAATTAGGAGGAATCACACCCCAAACAGAAACTCGAAGGAATCCAAGAAAAACAGACTGGGACATGTATAACACCAATCTCGTAGACAACCTAAACCGTATAGATGCAAGTAGGGCCAGAAACCATCTGCATCTAGAATGGTACGCAAGGGAAGTCAGCGGTGCAATATTGGATGCATATGAATCTAGTTGCCCCGCAAGTAAAGGCATACAAAAAAGTAACAACAAGCCCTGGTGGAACAAGAAGTTGGCCAAACTTAGATCGGAGGTCCGACGACTCTTTTAGAGCTAAATCCAGTGGCAAATGGCAGCTCTACAGCGAGAAATTAACTGAGTATAAGAAGGGAGATAAGAAGGGCAAAGCGGTCTGACTTTAGATCCTTTTGCGAAAACATCACTTCTACTCCTGATGCAGCTAGATTACACAAAGCTATGGCCAAGAGTGGATCTATCCCCATCATGGCACTTAAGAAATCTGACGGAAGCTACACGGAGGGAGAGGAAGAGAGAGCAAATCTACTTTATACACACTTTCCAGGTAGCATACCTATTGATACTTATGTAGCTCCCACTGAACCCCACAATCCTTGCAGGGAAGATTGGGAAGTGGCCAAGCTAGTAATAACAGAACAAAAGCTGAAATGGGCGATTGACACCTTTCAGCCCTATAAAGCAGCAGGAGTGGATGGGATCTTTCCTGCCCTTCTAAAGGAGGGTCAGCAAATAGCTACTCACCATCTACTAAGCATTACAAGAAGCAGTCTAGCGATGGGATATATACCAACCACATGGAGAAGAGCAAAAGTAATCTTCATACCCAAAATAGGCAAAACTGACTGGACAAATCCCAAGTCATTTAGGCCTATTTGTCTCACATCGTTCATACTAAAAACGCTGGAGAAAGTAGTTGACAACCATATTGGAGAAAATCATCTAAAGGTTAAACCACTGCATGATAGTCAGCATGCATATAGAACGGGCAGATCCACAGAAACTGCTCTGTACCAATTAACGGAGCTAATACAGACAAGTCTGGATAGCAAAGAAACAGCAATTTGTGCCTTCTTGGATATTGCGGGGGCGTTTGACAATATACCACATAAGGTGGTCAGGCGATCTCTAGAAACAAGAGGGGTGAACAGAACTATTATTCGCTGGTTTTGGGAAATGCTGTCAACACGAACAGCAGAGGCTCAGATGGGCACCAAAACTGTAGCTGTTAAAACAACGCAAGGAACTCCACAAGGTGGAGTAACCTCCCCTTTGCTGTGGAGCTTGGTGGTGGATGAACTACTAGATGAATTAACTCTAGCGGGAATACACTGCATTGGGTATGCAGATACATAGTCATGATCGCTCGGGGGAAACATGCAGGCACCTTGTGTGATATTATCCAAAGAGGACTCCGTATCACTGAGAGATGGTGTAGGACTGTCGGGCTGAGTATCAACTCAGAAAAAACCGCGATAGTGCCATTCACCAGAAGGCGAAGTCTGAAAACCTTGAAAAGAATCCAACTAGATGGAAAGGAAATACTGCCAACACAGGAAGTTAAATACCTGGGAATAACCCTGGACAGTAAACTCCTGTGGAACAGGCATATTAAGAACACTACCAGCAAAGCCATAAAGGCTCTCATGATATGCAGAAGACTGGCGGGAAATAGATGGGGCTGCTCCCCTAACATTTTGCGCTGGATGTATACCATGATAGTAAGACCCATGATTACTTATGGAGCAGTTGCCTGGTACACAAAACTAGAGCAACGGACGGCAAGGCTAAACCTATGCAAAGTCCAGAGACTCAGACTCCAGAGACTCTGTGTTTGCATCACAGGAGCCATGAGAACCTGTCCAACAGCAGCAATGGAGGTTATTCTAGATCTAACACCACTGCACATTGTCATTGGTAGATTGCCAATGCGACAATGATTAGAATGGTCACTAACGGAATGAGTACTGGGAGAATTGTCAGATCAGGGGCTTGGAACACCCTCAAAAGGAAATACCACTCCTGCAACTCCCAGTGGACGATATGCCAAGAACGTACAACTTTGACAAACATGTCAATGTAGTATTGAGCAATAAGAAGGATTGGAAGAGCGAAACGCTTGCCCAGCAGTTAAAAGACCATACCATAACTTGGTATACTGATGCTTCCAAAACCAATACGGGAACAGGGATCGGAGTGTTTGGGCCGAGAGCTAATTACTCCGAACCAATGGGCACTTACCCTAGTATCCTACAGGCAGAAATCTACGCTATCGAGAGATGCGTACAACTTATCTTAGATAGGAACTATCGGAAACAAGAAATAGCCATCTTATCTGATAGTCAAGCAGCGTTAAAGGCGATCAACTCAGTATCAATCAATTCGAAATTGGTCAAAGAATGCATAGAGAAGCTGAATAAATTAGGCAAAGAAAACAAAGTCCTCCTACACTGGGTGCCTGCTCACCAAGGGATAGAAGGCAATGAAAAAAGCAAATAATCTAGCTAGGAAAGGAGCGAACACTCCACTAACTGGACCAGAACCGTTCTGCTTTCCAAGTGGTAACCAACTCAAGGCGGAACTCAAGAACTTGGAAGATTCCATCCGCAACCTGGAATGGAAATCTTGCAATGGTCTAGGACACTCGAAGAAGTTTCTGAGGGCTTATGATCAAGAAAAATCACAGATCTTCCTGGGTCTGAGTAAGAACAATCTTCGGATTGTCACGGGGTTTTAACAGGACACTGTCTCCTCAATGAACACCTCAGTAGATTGAAACTAAGAAGAAACGGCGAATGCAGATTCTGTGGGGAAGATGGTGAAACACCAGTACACCTCATCACTGAGTGCGCCGAGACGACAACCATTCGTGCCATGAATTTTGGTACGACTGATATTGGAGATGGAGAACTACCCTCTATAAAACCGTCCCAGATACTGGCTTTTGTCAAAGCCCTGGGACTGTATGATGAGTTATGATTCAAGAAAGGGGGACACAATGGATCTGTAAGGTCGAAGTAATTAACCCCCCTCCCACTCATTCTAAATTCTAAAAAAAGTTACTATTTGGGACGCAATGGCAAAAACGGTAATGCCAAGACCAACGGAATTATCACTAAAAGCCTGCGTTGCCGCAATCGATGGGAAGCATATTACCTTACAAGCACCACCAAATAGTGGAAGTATGTTCTTCAACTACAAAAAGACATTTTCCATCGTTCTGTTAGCAATGGTCGATGCGGAATATAAATTTATTGCCGTTGACCTCGGCGCGTATGGAAAAAACAGTGATGGGGGTATTTTCAATGATTCGGCTATGGGAATTCAACTTAGAAATGGAACTTTCGGTATGCCTAAGGATAAACCAATTACGAAAGGCGGAGAACCTCTTCCGTTTATTATTGTTGGTGATGAAGCTTTTCCTGCGAAAAACTATTTATTAAGACCTTATTCGGGACGTGGATTACCGCCAGAAAAAAAGTTTTTAACTATCGACTTTCGAGGGCACGTAGAGTATCCGAGAATGCTTTTGGCATTTTATATCAGAAATTTAGAATATTTTTAAATAAGATACAAGTGCATCCAGACAACGCCGACAAAATTGTTTTAGCAAGTTTGTGTTTACACAATTTTCTTAGAGATGACGATAAATCAATTCACCTCCTGGTTGATGAGAAACAAGACAGTGATAGGGCTATTTTTACTGACCTTCCCAACATTGGAGGAAAACCATCCAATACTGCTTTAGAAATTCGCGAAAAATTTACTAATTACTTTTCATCAGTTGAAGGCGCTGTTCCATGGCAGGAAAATCAAATTAATGCAGGTATTCCTATAGTAAATAATCCTGTTTAATCTACTTTTTTCTTTTGAAAATTGCTTATACAGTGTTGTTCTAGTTTTGTAAATATTGACTGTTTAATAAAGCAAAAACTTCTGTAGTTATAATTTCTTATTTTCGAGCTTATTTTTATATCTTTATCTCGTAGCACTATACAGGGTGAGTCTTAAATAAGTGCAAATGTTTTCAGGGCTGGTATATTTCGACCCCAGGAACACGTCTATGAGTTTTTTTTGAAAAAAAGATTTTGAAAATCGTGCATTTTCTTTTAAATTTCCCTGTATATTTTTAGAACTGCCTGCAAATTTTCCCACTGTATAATTTATTAATCTCTAATATTACCATAGTTAATAGTTACAGCTTTTCTCTATGGTTACGGCACTAAAAGGGCTGCAAATACAGAAAAAATCCGGTGGCTCTCAAAATTTAAAAAAAAATATATTTTTTAAATTTTCAAACTTAAGTAACTCGGTTATTTTGGACTTATTTGAAAAATGGTTGAAGAGAAAATATGTTTCTTTTATCGAGATCTACCAGCCCTGAAAATATTTGCACTTATTTAAGACTCACCCTGTATTTAGTTACACTTGTTAAAAAAACGATTTTCATGTGACTTTAATTGCAACACAAAATTTAATTTAGTTACCTATATCATTAAAACTAACTTACCACTTTCTCCAATTTTGTTCCCAATATCATTCCATATGTCATACCTCCTCAACTGTTGCTGTAATTTTTATTACCCATATCAAATAATTCATCATATTCCCTAACTAATAATATCAGTTGTTCGATTTTCCTATCGTCCATCCGGGCCATTGTTTGGCAACTAGTCCCGCACGTGTGCGCACGTGTCTAGTAGAAACTGAAAATATATCATAAACACGGTGCAAAAACTTAAATGGCAGGATTTGGAACAAGAATTGCCAAATCCTGCTGTCAGAGGGCGCCACTGTCGATTTAAAAATACGTGGGCGGAGTAAGAGGGAAGGAAAAGTTTCTTCCCGCCACCCGTCTCATCATAATATTTCGTCATTTTTCCCGCCAGCCATCAGTGCCTAACTTTGTCTAGAGCTGAGAGGTATGTGTTTTGTGGCTGTGAGTGTCGTAGTGTTCATTCCCAAAGTAAAGACGTTTTATGTTGTGTGCCCGGCCTTTTATAGTGTATTATTTTATATTAAAAACTTTTTATTTTGTGTATCCATTTAGAGTGAATTATTCTTTATATGTAAGTACCTAGAAATTAGTTTATAATAATTTAACCTGCTCGATAAAAGCTAGGTTAGGTTAGGTTAATTGTACCTTGGAAATGGCTATCGATGATAAGGAAGATTGATATTCATTAATTGGTTAGATTTACTAATATAATTTACATTTTAAATGCCATCAATTGTCATTCCTAAGGTAGCTTGATGCAGCTTTTCGTAATCGTATGGTACAATATGATCGAAAAAAAAACAGCGTCACCGTTGGCTATGAAATGAATATCGCTGTCATTCTCTCTCTATATGTAAAATTATATGAGGAATGTCATCGACCGCGTCATTTCCAAGCCAACTTGACTTCGTTTTTTCGATCATACGGTATTACTTTAGTATTACCATGTACCTAGGTATAGAAATTTAGAAAACAAAAAGAATACAAAAATAGTTGTATATATATATATTTTATCCGAGCAATAATTGTAATGTTTAATTTTTAGTTGCCTATAAATTTAATGAGCCGCATTTGTATTGTAAAATTTCGAAATCTACGAAAAAAGAAAAAATAAATAAAAATTTATAACAAAAAATAAATGATTTTTATTATAAACTTCCTTGTAATATCTGGTATATAATCAATTCACATGTGTTATTAATCATACACCTATTATTAAGTTAAATCTGATAGTACTTTTTGATTTTGGTATAGAAAATATTGTAATGTTATTTTTACCGCATGTGTATTGTTTAACAATTATAGACTAGATATTTGTTTGGCAAGTATATTAAATCAAACATCTTTTACAACATATTTTTAAAAAATATATTGTATAAGATGTTTATTTAAATTTACTTGAAACAAATTATCTGGCATAGAATCATCCTAGTTTAAATATTGTATGATCGAAGAATACGGCTTCAAGTTAACTTAGAAATGACTATTGATGACATTAACCATATAACTTTACAAAGAAAATGTTATCGATCGTCATTTTTAAGTTAACTTGGAATCGTTGTTTTTCGAACATATGGTATATTAAATTAATTAGGTGTAATATAATACTAATAGCTAAATCCGTGTCATAGATGGCGTATCAAAATGTTGTCCTAATTTTTTGTACGGAAGATTTCGTTCTGTTTTAATCTGTTCTGTGATCATAAATAACACTCCCCTCCACGCCTATTTGTCGCATTGGGATTCACATTTCTGCTTGATCGAGCAGCGCTGCACTTCAGACGGGCGAAAGAAAGCTCACCGACAATTGGAGGCGTCAAGCCGGTTGAAGTCAAGCGAGGCGTAGCGCAAATGAGAACTGCTACGTAAGAAAACACAAAAACTTTTTAACGCGACATTTTGACGCTCGATGAAGTCAAGCGTAGTAAAGTACGATGAAGCGTATATGAGAACCGGCCTTAAGGCACGATGAAGCGTATGAGAACCGGCCTTGATGGTTTTCGAGATATTTGGAATCGAAATTATCAATACCTTTCATCATTGACATAAATTAAACATGTTGACTAAATAGTTATTAGACTGAAATCATAAATTTGAAATGTTTTTGTGCTAAAAGTTCAATAGAAACCTTTGTATCATCATTTTTTGCAGAAAAAATTATGATTAATTTAAAAAAATAAAAATTTCCCAAATTTATTATTTTAGTGAAATAACTATCTTCTCAACGCGCGTGTTTATTTTTCGTCAATAATGCCATGTATTGTCTATTTCCATTCTAAATATCTTAAGAACGGTTGCTCGTAGCGATTTTTACAAAGAGATATTTTTTACGTAAAAAGTCACAGAGATGTATATTTTTTCACTCGGTAGTTTTATACAGGTACAAACAAAAAGTTATTACGCTTCAAAACAGTTAAAACACATGTAGGTGGCGCCCTCTACTAGTAGGAGTCATATTGACACTAGTGATGGGAACTATCGAATGAATTAGACTATCGAATGGTTACTGAATGAATGATTTCAACTATCGAATGGTTTTATTCGAATAAAATCATTCATTCATTAGTATACTAAAGCATATGTGACAACCTCGCCGTGCGACTAAATGGTTATCGTTGAGCCGTTGAGCCACGACTATCGAATGCTTTTGATAAATGAAGTTTAGTATTCGTTTGATTTTTGTGTGCGTCAGTGCATTATTAGTTCTTCCAAATTTTTATAACTTCGCCGTATAAATACTGTGCTATTTTTGCGTTTATTAAAATATTTAAAATACTAAAAAGAGTAGTTTTTTAATTGACGATTGTGTGCGTGTGCAGGTGGTCAAAATTTTTCCGAAAATTTGTGTGATTTTCCGTAGCCCGATCTTTCAATTATTTAATTTTATATGGTATATGGTCTATTTTTATTGGGAAATTTTGAGAAGTAGCAATTTTAAGAGAGAGATGAACTTAATTAATTTTAAAAATACATATTTGTATTTTAGATGTTTTAATAATATGAATTAGTTGAACTTAATAATCATATTTAAGTAATGTGGTTAAGTAAATGGGGTTATCGAACTCAAACTATGGGGTGAGAAAATTAAATTGAAAGTTTTACACGTGCCAAATAAAAAAAAATTAACGATGTTTGTATTTTGTTTATGCTAATTCTCTTACATGTAGTTTTTTGCAAAGAAATATTTCATTCATTTTTTAAAGTAAATGCCAGTAAAAGTAAATATATTATTTTTAAATAGTAATATAAAGCACCTAATATAAATAATTTTGATTTCTAATTTTTTATTTATATTTTCCTTCCATTACACTGCATGCTTAGTAAATTAATAAATGTTGATATTTCATGATTTTAAAATTTGTTGTTAATATAACAAATTAGTTCTGTAATTATTATTATTTAATAAACCAACGTTGCCAAAAAATTTAGAGACTATATTATTTCTAAATAGGATCTAATATAAATAATTTTGACATCTAATTTGTTGTTTATATTTTGCTACTACTTAAAAAATGCTTATATTAAATGATTTTAAATTTTGTTGTTAATAGGTATAACAAATTATTACTGTTATTATTATTTATTAAACCAGTCTTTGCTTAAAAACATTAAAAATCATTTTCCTACATCCAAAATAACAAGTATTATTGCAGTGTAACAACAGAATATTAATAAAAAAAATGCAAAACATATAGACATACTATCCCTAACTAACTAAAGACAAACAATAATATTCTTTGCTAATATCAACTAATACCAATATATGGCAACAGCGCCCTTCATAATGTATTTTCTGTGTAAATACTAGCACCTCAATAAAAAAAATAATGTGTCCCATCTTTATCTGACTCCGCAAAAAATCAAAGATGCCGCCGTCTTTCACAACATTGCCACCGACCGCTGTCGGGTTTCTCGGAAAGAAACCTACATCGCCGGGCAACAACTAAAATCCAGTTAATATTTTATTATAATCGATCCTGACGAATAAATGAATTTCATAAATGAATGAATTTTATAAATGAATGGTTCTTGCTGCCGAATTACTAGAATACAATATTTCAAGGCAGATGACGCATCTATTCGATAATTTTTATTCGAATAGTTTTCAACGAATGTTTTCTTACAAGCTATCGAATTATTCGAATGAATTGCAACTATCGAATGTTTCGATAGTATTCATTCGATAGTTCCCACTACTAATTGACACCAAAATCAAATTTCTCATGTCAAAAAACTCCCAGACACCAATTTTCATCCAAATATTGACGTTACTTCAGAAATTATTTAGAAAAAATCGAAATAAAAATGAAACTTCTACACCCTGTATCTCTGAAAGGAAGCATTTTAGGACATACATTTATAAGAACTTTTTTAACTATTTTTATCTGCAGAATACGCTGCCGAAGTTTCCGGAATACAATTCGGACCACCCTGTATAATAAAATTTACGCTCAATTTATCTTTAGAACGTTTCCTCAATGTCTCGGTTTAAGTGTTAATACAAAAACACTATTAAAAATCCTCCCAGAATCGCAAACGGGTTTTCGTATCAACCGTGGCACCATCGATTCCATATATTCTCCATCCGCCAACTAGAGGAAAAAGTAAAAGAGCAGCAGTCTAAACTTTATGTTGCTTTCATCGACCGAACAAAGGCCTTCGACTCTGTGAACAGAGATGCACGTTGGGTAATGATGAAAAAGTTCGGAGTACCCAAAAAATTTCTTACAGTGTGTAACAGCCTCCAAAACAACAAGTCAAGAGTGTCACCATCATGGATCACCTGAGCGATCCCTTCCTAACAAACACAGGAGTTAGGCAGGGATGAGTCTTAGCGCCTCTCCTATTCAATATATTCATGGCAGCGCTCTCCATTATAGTGTATATCAAACTGCAGGAGAGAGGTTTAAGCATTAGATACAGATACGACGGCGCCGGCGCACAGTGTAGCGCTCTATGGACAAAAACCAGATAAAACCTGTTTCGCATTTATACAAATATTATTATTTATCGCCTTAGGAAGGCCTATAATCACCAAAAAATATATGAAAAAAATTGATACATGAGCAGCAATGCAAATACCAAAAATTGAATATCAGTATTTTTATTATAGTGGAAGTGTGTTTAAGTGACCGCATTTTTTAATTAAATTGGGGTGAATATTGTGTAGACGAAAAGAATATTTCCTAGCTGCACAAAACGGAGAAAAAACACTTATAGTAAGAACATTCTTTTTCCATATTAGTTGTTGTTAAATTCGATCATTGCTTTTATATACATGGCCATTACAAAAAGTCAAATCGAGTCTGAATGAAAATTAGTAGTGTAATTTTATTTAAGGTTTTAAAAAAATGGTATAAAAAGGTAGACGAAATTTTTCGTGTAATGTTGTCCCAAGTATTGTACTTTAAAACCATTATTTCAGTTTCTGCGGAAAACTGCGATAGGTATTTTAAGTTTTCGATTTTTTTTAGGAGAATGTTCAGTACTTAAAATAAAAGATATTTTGAACAATAATGCCAAAAGTGAAAGAGTGGCAAAAATTTGTGAAAAAATTAAGTTATGTTTACATTTAGAAGATTGTTCTGAAGAAGTTGATTCGTTTTTACAAGAAGAAAGTCGTTTCCAGGTGAAAAAGTTCTTGAAGTTTTTTCGTTTTTTGTTGAACTTAAATTATTGCCCTTTATGATTTTAATTTAATTGTTTTAATTTTCAAACTGAGCTTGCCATAATGTTATCTATGATTGAATAATTGTGATAGAATTAACTTTTTAACCTTTTTTGAAAAAAATTGTTTAACCTTTTAATTTGTTTTGTGATTGTATTTTATATTTTTTGACCTCTGTATGACTATTGGAATTTGTTTATTATTCTGATTGTAATTATTTTAGCTTTTTGGGGCCTGAAGATGGGAATTGTTAAGTTCCGAAACATGTCGCCCCCATCTTTTTTTGAAGCAAATTAAATTTAAATAAACATCTTAAGAGATTGTGAGTTTTTTGTCCCCTACACCTCGTCAGAGGTTTTACTTTGATATGTACTCACACTGGGTTGGAGAATGTTTTGTTTTTAATTTGTTATTTACTAATAATAAGAAATAATTACCCTTTGGGCTGCAGGAGATTTTTTCCATAATTATAAAAATTATAATTATTTTTTTTTGCCAAAAATATTTTTAGTTTATTTTTATATCATAAAAATTATTTTAAAATATAAAATATTATGTTATCTTTTATTAATAATGTAAGTAAATACATTTTCTGGCGGTAAAAATCGAGTTTTCCATTTTTATCCCCTGTCCCATATACTTTAAAACATTGTGCGGCGGTCTGTTCAACATAGAGACTCAAAAGGGCAAAAACACGTACAAAATTCATCACAGAACTTCAATACGCTGATGAATGTGCTCTAGTTGCAAATACGTTACAGGAATTGCAAGAAATGTTGAACACATATATCTGGGCATACGAGGCTGTGGGACTTGAAACTGACTGACTTTTGGACTGAAGCTGAACATCGATAAAACTAAAATCATGTGCACTCCCCTGGAAGATCATAACAATGCTATGAAAATCGGAGAACTATTGGAATATGTAGCGGAATTTAATTACCTCGACAGTTTGATTTCGGAAAAGGCCAATATATCGACTCTGAAATTCAGCACAGGATTAGCAGCGCCTCATGAGCATTCTGGAAATTAAAAGACAGGGTTTTCTACAATCATGACTTGAGCACAAAAACGAAACTTGCAGTGTACCGAGCAATAATAATTCCCACCATGTTGTATGGAAGCGAAATCTGGGTTGCGGGAAACCGTAACGCCTTTGTCTATATATAATTAATCAAGGGTAACGCCGACACATGAACGCAGTAAACAAGTTGCAACAGAGACATCTTAGACAACTCTTAAGAATAAAATGGTTCCATCATGTCTCAAACGTATCAGTTCTTGAAAAAACTGCGAGAGTACTGAAGTCATGATTACAAAATCTCGATTAAGATGGGCTGGCACGTATGCAGAATGCAAAAAAACCGCATACCAAAATCTCTGCTTTACGGTGAGGTTGTAGACGGTAAGAGGAGGCCGGGTGGACACCTCAAAAGCTTAGTTAGGTGGATATTTTCCACGAAAACTTTTAGAACCCACGAAAAGGGGATTAACATGCAGAATGAGGGGGAAGAAGCAGTTCACAATAGAACGGAATGGAGAAGAATTGTAAACTCAGTTAACAGCGACAACCAAAAAGTAAAAAGGCAACAAAGCAATGAGATTTTTGAGCCCGATACCATCACGTATCGGGCTTTTCACTCACAGAAAAGCTCATGAGAGAAAACGCCTTGCGTGACCATCTTCTGATGCGTGTCAATACTCGTCAGCGTGTAATGGCAGTATGTATGTATGTATGTATTAAAAAATTAAAGGGCTGTTTACATTAATTGGCCAAATAAAGCTAAGTGATTTTATTTAAATTGCTCATCTTCTGAAAAATAGCCTTTTCGCTATAAAGCCGACGACAAAGCTATTATTCCTCAAAATGGGGCATCAAAAATTGTATAAAAATTCGTTACGTCTCGTCTACGTATAGAAATAGGCTATCATAAATCTTATACAGGGTGTTTCAAAAACTATGTGCCATCTCTCGTAGGGAGATTCCTCACGTAAAAATAACATTTATTTTTCATATCAACATAGGTCCGATTCTGCTTAATTTCGTAGCTACAGGGTGTTAACGTCTTAATAATCTTTCGATTTATTATAATTTTCTTCCAAGTTCTTTTAGCGATTCGAATGAAATTTTGAGGGTAAAAGTTACTATAAGTGTTACATATTTTAATGCTAAAAAAGTGTCGATAAATTCATCAGGGACGTGCATATGGGATGGGTTATCACTGGAGTATTTTTCACAAAAAAAACATGTACGCCACTGACTTTTTTCTTTTGATATCAAGATTGTGTAGGCCGTTTAATGACAATTAAAAGTTAGCTCTTATAATTTTGTCGAATTCGGCCTCCTTGATGCGATAAACGCAATTTTATTAACGACAATAATTAATAAAAATAAAATAACATAATTTTAATAAATTATATATTTTACCTAATTTATTATTAAATTTTATTACTATTAGTCCCACCTACAGCAGTTTCAAATAAAAAAATAATGGTATTTAAAATAATTACGAAAAACCTAATTTTGAAAAGTTTTAACATCCTGTAACTCTAAAAGTATGCATTTCCATACCCATCTTTATAGGAACCTTTTTTCATATTTTTTGATGAGGAATCAATGAGTACTTATTTAAAACTTTCTCAAGTTAATTATATTTTTTTTTTTTAAAGGTTGATAATTGATTTGGGTCACGCAAATTAATAAAATTGCGTTTATCTCAGCAAAGAGGCCGAAATCGACAAAATATCAAGATACAACTTTTAATCGGCATCAAACAGCTTACAATATTGAGATGAACCGCCTATTTAAAAATAGACATATTTATTTAAATTCAAAACATTCATTTTTAAGACACTCTGTATACATAAATATAATTATTGATTTTGAAAATATTATTCACAAACTAGGCGGAGGGAAATCAGGCGACAAACGGAGATGATAGTTGTTAAATAATAGCTTTGAGACTACGATTCGAGACGCATTGATATTATTTTGTTTCTTGAGTTTTGTGACAAAGAATGTTATTAAAGGTAAAGTAAATGTTTTCTCATTATTTAACTAATGTTAACTAAATCATATTATTTTGTTTTCTTGTTGTAATTCTGTTCTAAAGCATTTCTTTATTTATTTGATCTGACAAAGCAAATATATAATATGTGTATGCATTTAATGGAATCTATTTATGCTGTTAATAATTTTAGTTTAAAAGTAATCTAAATAAAATCGTTTACTGTTCCTTCGTGCCGATGTTTGTGGTTTGTGAGAATAAGGGCCTTGTTGAGTGTACTAAAATATTTTTCGTTCGTGCATGGGCGAATATCTTAGCTCGCAAAAGAGCAACCAGAAACAATAAATATAATAACTTATATAATGTGTTTTTTTTAAATTGGATTAGGATCGAAAGAAATCAACAGAGATGCTAATCCAATTTAGTCCAATTTAAAATTCGATCCTAATCTAATTTAAAAAAAAACACATTATATATTATTGGATCGACAACAATAAAAATTAGATAATAATTTATGATTTAAAGATATTTGCACCAGATCTTCAACAGCGTCGATCTCTGCAACCAGGGACTGCGTACCTACGGGTGGGGACCCGTTAAACTGACTTTCTTCAGTTTTGAACGATATAAGTGTGGCATGTTTTGAATGCATTAAACTATAGACCTAGGTATGAGGACGGTTTCTATATTATTATTATTTCTCTTTTATTTAAGTTCGGGACAGCATAGTTAGATTCTCTGGAATAGTGAGCATGGTTTTCTCTGCCGTGCTCTTTTACATGTGAATTCCAGGCAGAGTACGGCACTCCTTTCATTTCATTTAATAAAATAGGTAGGGTTGTTAACAAATTTAGCGTTTTATTTACATAACCTATTCTCCTCAAATTTCCCAAAATATTGCTTCTGTCGAGGCGCATCCGAGGTAATCACAATAAAAAAATATTTAACACAACGTAGGTTCCTTTTTTTCTTTTAAATTTCTTGTTGTACAATTGGCCAAAGTATTACCTCTTCAACTTTGTTGACGAACATGGGTTGGTACACTACAATATTTCGCGAACAAGAGAAAAAATAGTCAGTGGCATACATGCTTTTTTTCGAAAAATATTCCAGTAATAATAACCCATATGCACGTCCCTGGTGAATATGTCGACACTTTTTTAGCTTTAAAATATGTCGTATTTATAGTAACTTTTACCCTCAAGATTTCATTCGCAACGCTAAAAGTTCTTGGAAGAAAATCATAATAAATCGAAAAAATATTAAGACTTTAATACCCTGTAGCTACGAAACAAAGCAGAATCAGATCTATGTTGATATGAAAAATAAATCTTATTTTTACGTGAAGAATCTCCCCACGAGAGATGGCACATGTTTTTTGAAACACCCTGTATAAATTTATAATAATTTATTATTGAGCCTGGAAATCTGGTACTGCAAAATCTAAAATAGTTAATTATGTATAGATATTCGTATTAGTTCTACATTTGGTACCGATTTATGAGTTTTTTTGTTTATGAAGTATTAATAAGACTTTTGATAACCTACTTTCAGTTTTTATCTTTATAAATTACTAATTTACTACCTGTTACTACATTTATTATAATTAGATTCATTGTTAAAAATAAAAGTGACTAAATTATTTCATCGATCAAACTTGTTTCTAATAGCAACCATCAAAGTTCTGATTAATCAAGTCTATGAATTCCAACAAACTTATCATGTAAAATATTGCTTGTTTTCAATCGTAATGGTAGTTAGTGGAAAAGAATTTAGAAGTAACTTGAGAAAACCCTTACCTCATGCAAAAAAAGATAGAGGATGTAGACTTGTTCCCGCATTTACCATACAAGCTTTTCAAAAAGGTAAAATTATTTTAATATTTGCTTTACATTGCTAAATCGTCAATTACTTTATAGGAACTTGTGTATTACCTCCACCAAAGTGCAATGCTTTTACCGAATCATTACCTAAATCTTCAAAATTTCGAGTAAATTATAATCGAGGAAATCTTCCTATTTCTATGGAAGCTAAAGGAGGAAAAGTCTCATGGAAAGTAAGTTTAAAAATACTAATTTTAATAAAGTTTTAAAGAAACTTTTACTACATTTAACATTTATTTGGAAAATAATATAAAAACAAATTTATTTTGATTTTGGACTAGCTACATTTTTTTCAGACATCTTTAAACAAAACCAGTAGTAAAATAAATAATAAATAGGTATCAAAAAATAAAATGGTCAGTAAAGACAAATAAAAAAATACACAAAATTTGAAATCAAATTAAAATGTTTCAATTAAAATGTCAAACAGAACAGTCATGGATGAAGACCTATGATGTCGGTACCCTCCACCAAGAATGAATACATGATAGTATTCTCGATAGTACTGTACGATCGAACAAAAAACGGCGTCAGCGATGGCTATGAAATGAAGATCGCTGTCATTTTATATGGAAATTTATATGGGAAATGTTATCGATCGTCATGTCTCAGCCACCTGGACGCCGTTTTTTTTTTTCGATCATACGGTATTATACTCTTTCTTTAATCTTTTTATTCAAAGCTATAGACTTTACACTATACAGGATTATTCACCTCATACGACACGAAGTATTGTAGCCAAACGATTAGATTTTTACAAATTGTAGAAAAAAGTTTTGGGTTCGTTGACGGACTATTAGAGCTACAATTAGCTACAACTACAATTGCGCTACAACAGAATTTTTTTACAAGATACAGAGTGTCCCAAATAAATAAAAAACATCAAAGTTGTATTTCTCTGGGCGTATTTAAGTTTTTAAAACCAAATATTGTACTGAAGTTTTTCCATTTTCTAAATTTTGTGTTGCAATAATAAAAAAATAATACTCCCTTATACAGAGTGTCAGTCTAAAAATTTATTTTAAATAATTATAAACTTTAAACGGCAATAACTTCTTTAATTTAAATGGACCATCCTGTATATTTTACGTTAACAATGCACAATTTAATTGTCTATCAAATTGTATTATACCATTTTTTACCTATCTCTTCAAGTTTTCGCAGGAAATGCATTTAATTATCATTTAACCTCATTTATCAATATACCCATGGAATATTGACATTTTAGTTTTTTATTTAAAAATAACGAATTTAGAAAATATACAGATGCTAAAAACGATAATATTGCTAGCCCATTTGTTTACAAAAAGAGAACTATTTAATTTTTAACTAAATTTAATCTTTAAATTATTTTTTTTAATTAAAAGAGTACACCATTAATTATTAAATATACCACCATTATTTCCGCCTTTTCCGCCCGAATATTAATTAATTATACTTAATTGTGTTAGTTAATAAATTATTCTAAATAAATGTGTATCTGAATCAGAAATCAATATACAGGTTGAGTTTCCTACGATGTTCTCTATGGGCATCTCGGAAACTACTGGAGATAGAGAGTCGGTTAAATGGGGAAAGAATTGCAGTTTTGTGGGGTCATAAATATGCGCTTTTCAGATTTTTGAAAACGTTCATGGCTTACTAGATATTTCGAAAAAATCAAATTTTGGCTATTTTAAAAATTGTCCCTAATTGCATTATCATCTATTTTAGACAAAAAGTGTTCAGACAAAAGTTGTAGATAATCACATTCCTAATGAGTTTTTGTTCTCCGATTTTTTCTAAAGCCTGTCATTTTTGACATATGACACAAACATATGTTTTTTTAAATAGAAACCATAGTTGGCTATGACTTCATAAAAAGCGCCATTTTTTAAGCTTTTCAGCGATGTAAGCTGTAATATGTTTCTTTCACAAAAATTAGTGAGTTATAGCCAATTCTTATCTTTCTTTACTAATTTTACTTAGTTAGCCATGGAAACAAGTTCAATCGTCGTTGCTCTCAGAAATGTGAAATTGTGTCACATCCAATCTTTCTAAATTAAAATAAACAAAAATTGTAAATACATTTTTTTTCAAATGAAGAAAAGCGTGTAGGATTATTAATTCAACTTTTCTTGGCCATACAGGATACGTTGGCCGGTGAAAGTTACTTACGTTTTTTAGAGAACGGTTTTCAATGGTGTTCAAATTTTGTTGTGATTTATAACTTATAAAAAGACAAAATATATTATTTAACGGCTCTTTAAAATTTACACTACACAAACTAAAACTTAAAAAAAAATAATATCACTACGTACACTTTAAGTTATTTTAGAAAATGTTCAAAAAATCCGCAATTATTTTGAGTACATAAATGCATCTTTTTAAAACTGAATTTCTAGCTGTCACAGAACAACCGGTCGACTTAATTAAACTTCTCCTGTTCCGCCTCTTCGAGTTCCTCTCTTAATTCATAAGTTCTTTTGTAAACCTTGTTGTTAACCATACCGCATAAAAAATCTAAAATGCATAGGTCATGTGACCGAGGAGACTCATGCAATTGGTCCACCTCGTTCTATCCCTGAGTTCATAATTATGATAAAAATAATTTTTAACATTTCTTTCATTGTGGGGCGGGGGTTGGTGTGTCATAATGCAAGTCATGTTGGAACCACTGTATTAATGCGCGAGTATCTAAATTTAACTATTCTAACATGTCTTGAAAACCGTTCTCTAAAAAACGTAACGTTCACCGGTCAACGAATATCCTAAAGTATCCTCGAACTCCAACGAGTATCCTCGAAACTGTATGGCCAAGAAAACTTGAACCAATAATCCTACACGCTTTTCTTCATTTAAAAAAACTCTTATTTACAATTTTTGTTTATGTTAATTTACAAAGATTGGATGTGACAATTTCACATTTCTGAGAGCAATGACGATTGAACTTGTTTCCATGACTAACTAAGTGAAATTAGTCAAGAAAGATAAGAACTGGCTATAACTCAGTAATTTTGTGAAAGAAACATGTTATAGCTTATATCGCTGAAAAGCTTAAAAAATGGCGCTTTTTATGAAGTCATTGCCAACTATGGTTTCCATTTAAAAAAACATATGTTTGTGTCATATGTCAAAAATGACAGGCTTTAGAAAAAAACGGAGATCACAATCTCATTAGCGATGTGATTATCTACAACTTTTATCTGAACACTTTTTGTCTAAAATAGATTATAATGGAATTAGGGACAATTTTTAAAATAGCCAAAATTTGTTTTTTTCGAAATATCTAGTAAGCCATGAACTTTTTCGAAAATCTGAAAAGCGCATATTTATGACCCCACAAAACTGCAATTGTTTGCTCATTTAACTGACTCTCTATCTCCAGTAGTTTCCGATATACCCATAGAGAACATCGTAGGAAACTCACACTGTATAAATAAGTTGAATGTGAACGACTCTGTTGTTATAAATACGCATTTGTCAAAAATAGCAAAAAATCTAGAAGGTGAGATGACAAGGTGTTACTTTTTACCACATTGGCTAATACACATAACAAAATTCAGTTTTCTAGTATTAAGAGTTATTAATCAACAAAAATAGTCAATTAATGTATTTCGAATAGTGGGAATATATTAATAGGTCCTATTTACAAATATTTAAATAATTCATATTTTTTAAAGAAATAAGCGAACTATATGGACAACATTAGTACCGTATGGTCAAAAAAAACGGCGTCAGCGATTGTTATGAAATGAAAATCGTCATTGATGTTCATTTCCAAGCCAACTGGATACCGTTTTTTTATCATACGGTATCTGTACTGTGTTAAATCTTTAAATAATAAATATCAATATTCCATGGGTATATTGATAAATTAGGTCTAAATGATAATAAAATGCATTTTCTGCGAAAACTTGAAGATATAGGTAAAAAATGGTATAATACGATTTGATAATCAATTAAATTGTGCATCTGATTCAACTAAAATATACAGGGTGTTCTATTTATATTAAAGAAATTATTGCTGTTTAAAGCTAGTAATTATTTAAAATAAATGTTTAGACACATAGTATAAGGTAATATTATTTTTATTATTGCAACACAAAATCTAAAAATAGGCAACTTCAGTACAATATTTGGTTTTAAAACCTTAAATATGCCTAGACAAATTTTTGCTGCATTTTCACAAAATCGTAAATATTTCAAAAACGGTACGATTAAAGTCCAGTAAACCTTAATCAAATTTACCTTTATTTTAATCGTAGAAACTAAAAATGTGGTAACATACAGGGTGTTCCATTTAAAAAATACAACTTTGATATTCTTTATTTAAACTACTCAAAACAATTATCGCATATTTTCTAAAAAAATATTAATTTGAAAAACAAGATATTTTGAATTTCCTGACTTACGGTTTTAAATAGTTTGGATATTGATGTGAAGAGAAATTCGAAACAATAAGCCTACCCGTTGACCTGTAATTTTTAGTCGACCGACTATTTAGTTGTAAAAGTGAAAACAATACATACTTATGGAGTCGATAGGCCGACTATTTGATTGCATGTGAGCGCGGCTCCATAAGGATATATTGGTTACAAATATGAAACTAAATAGTCGCACGATTAAAAATTGCCAATATGAGTGTAATCAGCGTATAGCCTAAGGCTACGCAATGCAATCAAATATTGGGTCTCGGCTTGAAAATGCATGCTTCATTTAGTAATATGTAATAATTACTTTTAATCAAATATGCGATAATTGTTTTGAGTAGTGTATTCGGGACACTATATACCTTTTGCAAATAATTTTAAATTGTAGCTCTAATAGTCTTACAACGAACCCAAAAGTTACAATTTGTATAAATCTAATCGTTTGTCTACAATGTCTAGTGTCGTATGAACTGAATAACACTATACGTGTTTTGTGTTGCATACACCCTGTGAATGTAAACGGTCATCATTTCTAAAGTAACTAGACGCCGTTTTCTGATCATACGGTATATAAGAATATTGAATAGTAATTTACTTTTTTGAAAATGAACGGTCCAGGGTAAAAATATGATAAGCCCCATTTAACTAATTTCACAGGAGAACCTAGGACAGTTGGTGGTTGTCAGGTTTATTCCCTGTACAGGGTGGCGCCTCTCATACGACGCCGAGGTTCCAAGGAGAACGGTAATCTATATTGAAAT